TTCCCTGTCAAAAACAATGCTGGAGACAGATTTATTCGTCAATCTCCCCAAGGTGGTCCCTCACGTTGTTCACTTCATTGATAACTCTGTCCTCCCGACTGCCAACGGTTTGGTCCTTCCACTTTGACCAACTACCTGGGACCATCACTGCCTTCCAACCTCAAGTGCTCAGATGGATGCGTGATGACCCAGACAGTGCAACAACTATGGTGTTTGCATTCCTCGATCAAGGCCGCTTTCTTGAGGAGTTTGCAACAACAACGATCCCCAGTACGCAGCGAGAGGGGCAAATTCCGTTCACCTTCACGTATTTGGATGTCAGGTGAATTTTACTACCTCCCTGTCTCATGCGACAGCTCAAACCTCTCGATTAGCTCTTTCCGAGTAGAGGGACACGCGGATGGGTTCTTCACTGCTCAGCCCACAGCCATACTGGCCGCAAAGCCGGCCATGACTGCGACCTCCGATCCAAGCGATAATTCTTCTACCACCCCGCCAAGTTCGAACACCACAGATACACCACCTACTAATATGTGAGTAATCAGTTCGAGGTTCCAAACAAAAATTCTTTGTTGAATCGTACCATTGAAACCCGAAACGTACCTGTCTATTGAAACCTTCAGTCCATCGACTCCTCCAGCAATTGCCTCCGATAACTCTGAATCCACTACTTCCCATGCGAATATTATCGGTGGTGCAGTGGGAGGCGGCGGAGCCGTGGTTATACTTCTCATTGTCCTCTTTTTGTTTCGAAGGAAAAGAAGTGAGTTGTCGCCCTCTCAACAGCCGTGTCATAATTATTCAACACCTCTCTAGATCAACAAAAGCCACGAGACTCAGAACAAGCAACCGTGTACTCCCATCCTCCAGAACCGAGAGTCGACCCCTACCTCTTAGAAAAATCAGCTACAAGTCTTATTTCTAGAGGCAAGGGTCAAGGTCAGACGGATCAGCGCACAAATACGACCAGGAGCGACCACTATCAGTCTTCCGATTCTCGAATCCCGCCGAGTGCATCATCACGGTCGTACTCGAGCCGACCGGCAGGGCCCCCTGTCAGTGAAGACGGACCGTCGGCATTTGCGGCTATGCAAGCCCAGATGCGGATGATGATGCAGAGGTTGGAGAGAATTGAGGCTGCAGAGTCGGAAGCTCCTCCGGATTACGTTTCGTCATATAGCGGTGGTAGATGAGAGACGTGTAGCTCCCGCCAAGACGACGGGTGGATTGCCAGTGTGTGAACGGTATGTCTCATTTCCGTTCCCGGTTGGTTTCAGGTCGGTTTATACTTTGGCTACTAGCCCAGGCAGCAGCAGAAAAACCATAAGGCTGGTCGTAGGACCTATCGATCATGACGCGGATTCGATAAACTGTGGTGGCCCAATTCTAGCAACTTTTTTTCGGTTCGTATTTGTTGACTCGATGAAGACGGCACGATTGCCCTTGAAAGGCTTTTGGGCTCTCCTACTACTCTCAGCCTGTTTTGTACGCTCACAACATTCTTGGGATCAACTGTACCCGACTTGTACATCGAATTTCTAACTCCACGGCTTAAAATCACAAACCTTATTCCCGCCGGCATGACATTTGTATCGATCTGATACTGATTCACATAAGGTATGCGCGAACGCTCCAGTAAAGTCCACTGGATACGTTATACATTCTATCAGTCGTGCGTCGGATGGGCGTTCTGAGGTTGTGGTTCATGTGCGCAAGTTATATCGTTCTTCCAGGCCTTCATTCAAAACTGTCCGAGAGAGATTCCTGTTCATGTAGCACGTTTAGGGGTACCCAACCTATCTTGCGCTCTCCCCAAATGAGCGAGCGTCAGCTGCCATACTAGACTGACCCACCTGTCCCGAATTTCTCTTGATTGGCGTGCGAAAGCCGGGTAAACCGCTCGGGAGGGTCTTGGACCTGCTTGCAGCTTCGGTCGCTGTGATAATTATACCGCTTCGCATTCAACCTAATAACTACGCAACTCGCTAGGAGATTGTGGTCAAGAGCACACCCTCAAATAGCTTGGACCTCTACGGCAACGTATCGGCAGAAACCCAAGCCTCGGCGAGACCATACAAATACAAATCCCACCTTCTCCCGAGCAGAGTTAGCGCCACAAGGATGACAACGACGATGACCTCGGAGCACTCCCTCTTATGGTTGGTGTAGTGCAATTAGGTGACAACAGTACGCTGTCTTTTTTATCTGTCTTTGAGCTTCAGCGATACCTCCCTCGTACGCAAAGAGACAGAAATCTGTTAGAGGTATCCTGAAAATGCTCTTCGAAGAGCAAATCCTAGGGCGGATAGATCACCCGACCGCCGAAGACTTATTCGCACCCTCAAATCGGTAATGGATGTCATTACAATGGGCGCTCAAGCGCTCATGACTGATGATCAAGCGCCACACTGGACCGTTGGAATTGAATCTCATTGGAGCCTTCATGCGGGGGTCTCAGCTACCCATCTCTTTCTTCCAGCAACCCATCACCTAGTTCTGTCTACAAGGCAAAGATAAAGCCAATGTATGTAAACACATTCGCCTATTGCAATCGAACTGGTGGAATGCTGATTTATTGTTCACCCTAAGGAGATCTCTCGAAGCGTTAATTTCACTGCTAGCTCTCATCTCCAGACTGTCGAATGTTTGGGCCTTCCACTTCGAGCAACTGCCCAGCACGATTACTGTCTTTCAACCCCAAACACTCAAATGGCTCCGCGATGACTCCGACAGCGCAACATTCATCAAGTTTGCTTTCCTCAATCAAAAGGACCTGCTCGCTGAGTTTGGGACGACAACGGTTCCCGAGACGCAGCGGGAAGGACAATTTCCTTTCACATTCACGTTTTCGTCGGTTAGGTGAGTCCCAGTATCTTTCTGCCCCATTCGAGACCTAAATTTTCCGATTAGCGCGTTCAGAATAGAAGGTCTCGCGGATAAAAAGTTCTTCACTGCTCAACCCACAGCGATCTTGGTTGCAAACTCAACTGCGACAAATACGACCTTCGATTCAAGTATAACCTCCACTAAGCCACCACCGACGACGTGGAATCCTGACTTAGCAGAAACGTCACCCCCTGATAGGTGAGAAGGTTGATTCTACATATCCATTGTGGTGTTGTCATATTGAAGACACGCCTTTTCAGTGAGCCAACCCCGGTCCCGACATCGACACCTCCGGCATCTACTTCTGATTCCACAAAATTCGCGAGTATCATCGGTGGTGCGGTCGGAGGTGGTGGGGGCTTAGTTCTCATAGTTGTTATTACATTCCTTTTGTTACGGAGGAAAAAAGGTGAGCGGACATTCACACTCGGACTTGCCGTTTTAACAATCAACATCTCCGTAGGCCAAGGCCAACAAAACGCGGGAGATTTGGAGCAAGCAACGATGCCCCATCCTCATCCTCATTCTCAGTCACCAGCACCAACAATTGAACCTTACCCCATGGCTGAACGATCACCTATAAGTCCTGTTTCGACCGTAAAAGGGCAAAGCCCCACGACGGAAAGGCGTACTACAAGTGATCACTATAAGTATTTCGATCCTCGAGACCCATCGAGACCGTCAGGGGAAAGCTCAAGTCGGCGTGCAGAATCCTCTGTCAGCGATGATGAGGATCGTGACGGTTCATCGGGATACGCGGCCGTACAAGCCCAGATGCGAATGATGATGCAGAGATTAGAGAGAATTGAGGCAGCGGACCCGGAAGCTCCCCCTGATTACGTCTCGTCCTATAGCGGTCTTAGATGAGAGCGTAGTTCCAACCGAGACGAAAGTCTTGTTGTAGTATTTGTGACACAGAGAATTTTTCTTGAAGATTGGATTCAACTGGACTTCAGACTTTTCTCTTCGGAAGCTGAAAAAACGAAACCTCAACGCATTTCAGACCCTCTGGTTTCTTTGATGCAAAGCGTTGTAGACATTTAACAACGGTCAACATCGCTGAGTCTTTGGGTTGTAAGGTGGTCTACGTTCACTCTGCTCACACTCCGGGTTTGCCACCAGTGGCGTCTGTTTGGAGCTAGCCTTCATATAGATAGAGTTGAGCAATGTGCTAGGGCGTCGGCGCCTGGGAGTATATTCCAACTAAAAAATGGGAAAAACGTTCACTCACAAAAATCGTGCGCGCTGGGGGCATGTGCTCTCTTCTCGCGTGAAGAGTTGCCTATTTACTTCAATATTGACGACCACCGCCTCATAGACAATGAATACTTACGCCAGTTCCGTGTCATTGATCATGGCCAGCTGGGATTCTGAATTATAACAAAACGTTATTGGGAGTGATTCGCGAGAGGCATGGCACGTATAAGCCTCTAAAACCCCCATAAAGTCGCTGCGTATACTTCGAGATTATCGTTCCATTAGAGTTCTGAGTGTGCAAGAAAGAGCGTAACTTGTCGAAGGACTGGATCGTATACAAGACGAGAACTCGAGCCTGAGCCTCAGTCGATCTTGGATGATCCATGATTCGAATACACCGACCTTCCGAGGTCTAAATGTGCAGTATCAAGCTTAGGGGAGGGGCTCGAAGGATATAGAGATGGGGTTAGCAAGGTCCTTTTATTTCCCCAATCCTTGAAAACTTCTTGGCATGCCCGTATAAGAGTCAAAAGCCCAGCTAAGACGGATAATACCGAGTAGTATCGCCTCGATCACAGCCGTAGTCGGAGGTTGTTGTCCTGTCTCATCGAGGATTGCCGTCAATCTTGACCATCAAGTAATACCCAGCGGAAGCGTTGGAAAATCAGAGTTGGAGCTTTGAGCGGTGATTGACAAGCTCAAGGAGGGCTTCCCACGCACAGATCGTCAGTTCCTCGCGAGTTTCACGACTTTCAGCAGTACATACTAAGTACAGCAACATTTCCCCCATAGCTGTCGAGTGCGAAAGCCAACCCCGGCGGTGGAGATCTGGATACTGACTTACGGCCAAGCGCCTGAGCATGTATGGATTATCAAAAGCCAGAAGTACAAAAGAAAGACGGGATGGACCCGTTAATTGGCCAACGTGGGGATCGAACCCAAGACCTTCGCGTTAACTGCCTTTCAGCTCATATTAGCACGACGCTCTAACCAACTGAGCTAGTCGGCCATACCGATTGGATCCACCATTGCCGTTATGTCCTTGAGGCGGATCAATCAACTTTTGCGTGCATGCGAGACCCACGAACAGGAAAAAGATACTCATAGGTACTTCCATAAGCGCCATTCTCATGCCCTCTCCAGTGGATGGCTGACTAGACCCGCAAACGTAGTGTAAAGCGTCGCATCGACGGGACTTGTTTAACAAAGATGCTTCTGTAGGTAGTGTTCGGTATTGCACGCGAAGGTGTTGATCGAGTGAGATACGAGGAACGAACGTGCGGAGGCCAATAGCAAAACGGCGGTTCTCGTGGGAGGTACAGATACATAGACTGATGTGCATAGAATACGCTCGGTGTCCTTCGATAAAATTAGTGTAAATGGTCGAGGGGTGGGATCCAAGTCTGTACAATTCAAGGTCAGCAGGAGCAAAGGGAGTGGCTAAAAGGTTAATACGCACTTCGTTCATCGATCCAATAGCCAATGTCCCTCAAAACACCATAACCGTTACTTTCCCCGCGCCGGATACTCTGAGAATAAAGCTTCTAGTCCAGCGTACGCGTCAGCCCGATAAATCTGTGAATGTAAGCTGATAAAAACGTACTCTTTTATCCCCCGTTTGAGTGCTTCCTAGCATACATATATGCTCGCTCTTGGATATGGGTAGTCGGAGTATCGTCCTAAGTCAGGTTTGTAGAACGTTTCGTTGTTCAAAGGGTTTCAGACATGTATACGCGTGCGGCTACGCTGAGAGGAGGACGATATCACGATATAGAGATCGTTGATGACCTCAGGAAACTTGGCTCAGCAGTATCGACGACGCTGCCAGAGATAGTAATGGTCAGAAAAAAATAAGCGAGAATCGAACAGACAAGTCTCAACTCACGGTTCTACTCAAGCCTTGGAAAGCGTCGACTCTGTACCCTACCTAGGCTGTCCCAAAATCCCTCCTAGGTCCTGAGGATAGCATTGAAACCTGTAAGATTCCGTGTAGGAAAGGGTGTCAGAGGGTGGTGTAGTCGTTGTAGGTACAACAGTTGTGATACCCAGATCCGTATGTTTTTGCGCGAAGAAGCCGGGGTACGACCGTTCCATGAAGGGTTTTCACGTCTTTCGCAGGCTTCAAGACGATGGGGAGGATAAGATTCTCCTCGAGTGTTGGTTAGAGCTGTGCGGCTGGTTGTGCGATCGAACCAAGGAAAAGAAGGGAGGAGAAAGAGCGTGCTGAAGGTCTTGGAGATAATGATTCGGGACCAAGTCGCAGTAGAGACGTTGGTCGAGGTAAAAATCAGAAGGCTAGAGCGTAATCGAGCGAAAACCCGCAACTCACAGATGTGCCCGAGCCTAAAAATCCTCCTGTTTTTCCTCTCGAGTTTGATCGTCCAGGCTTCGTGGGGATGATAATCACAGCATCGCATGTTTTGGAGATAGAGCAGAACTACCACGATTTTCGGGCTAGCGAATTTTCAGAGGCATCCGAAGATCGACAAGTCGTGGTAGGCGTTGCTGGTGACTACGAGAGCATGTGTAGGAAAGTACCGGTTCATCCTAGCAAGTGTATGGAGATTGACTACGAGGTTTCGGAAGTAAAGGATTGGAAGCAGTGTCGCCATCGAGGATCGAGGTTGATCTGAAAAGTGTGAGCTTCAAGTTCCCAGTCCAAGGTTGGAACACCGAGGTGTGGGAACTCTGTGATGTCATGAGGGCTTCGGGAACGGTCTGACCGTACGGGCTCCGTCAACCGGCCATCCCTTGCTCCTCGACCATCACCGAGGTGCCTTCTCGCCAGCACGTTGAAGACCCAAGCATTGATATTCGATCTGCTCCTCCGTTCAAAGCAAACAAGGGTCACTATCAAATTCTTGACAGCTGGTACAAGCACCACGTAGGCCCAAGCGATGGAAACGAGAATTCATCACAACCTGCAACTCCAGGTACGTTCCTTCTCACATTTTTTTTCAGCGATTCTCGCTACACGTCGAAGCATCGTATGTTTACTTGGCTTGCACCTTTTTCCAGACGGAGTACTCCAATCCAGTACCGAAATTGAAGACCCCGGCATTCAAACGGACCCTGCATCCTCTCTTTCAGGCAACACCTTCCCAATTAATCGAACAATAAAGAAACATGTTCGTTGGGCCCTTAATTGGAACTTCCAAACATCATATCCCGCGGATCCCTCAGTTTGCTCTCTCTACGCGTCCTGAATTTCTATGAAGGAGAGAAACGCGTCCAAGACGTGTATTTTCTTGCAAGCGTTCATCGACGAAGTATACTGCGTTGCCATCGTCATGGTAAGTAACAACAATCCTACAATCTTACATTCATCTCTTCGCGTTTCGCATTCCGTGCTCTTGTTCTTTTTCCTTTCAACATGCCAAAATCTTTCATTTTCCGGGATGGAATTAGAAAAACGTGTATGATTTTCTGAGCGGCAAGGACACGTTAAAGAGTCACAGTGGCTCCGTCGCTTCTGACTCCTCACTTTCCTTCGCTCCTCGTTGGGCAAAGACAAAGAGTTCTTTCTCCGCTCTCTCCACGTTTTCCAGCGGTTCCGGCTTATAGCTTGTGGCCTTTTAGAGCAAGGACGAGACGAGACTTTCTTCCGCACTCTTTGTACTTTGCTCCTACATCGACCTTCCATCTCGTCGATTTCATCCCCGTTCTCTCGATTAAAAACCGCCGTTTACCTTCGTTTACCTTCACCTTGTACCATGACCGAACCCATCAGCCCCATCGATGTCAACCTTAACGCTGATTCCTCTTACCAGACGCGCGACGAGGTCTCCCTTTCCTCAACAAACGTAGGACGAAGCGACACGCCTCCGTCGTCCACGTCAACGCCACCTCTCACACCAGGACCAGGTGGCGCACCCCCTGGCGCAGGCGTTCTAGCCTCTTCAATCCCTTTCCCCGATCCTACGACTCTCAACACGTACCAGGACGACTCGACAGACACCACCTCTAACTCTGATACTCTATCGCCACTCACTTCAACCTCCTCAACCTATAGCAAACGGAAATCTCACGCCCGCCGTCAACCACCCGGACATATCCCTCGTCCGCGTAACGCCTTCATCCTCTTCCGATGTGACTTTGTCAAACAGAAAAAGATCCCCGAACACGTCGAAGCGAACCATAGGAATATTTCTAGGATCGCTGGGATGGTGTGGAGAGGGATGAGTACGGGACAGAGAGCTCCGTGGGTTGGGTTTGCCGAGGTTGAGAAGAGAAGGCATGGGGAGAGGTGGCCTGGATATCGGTATAGGCCTGGCGGTGGGGAGGGGAGGGGGAGGGAGAAGGAGCGAGATGCTTCAGTTGGCGCTGGGAAGGGGAGGAAGAGGGGTGGTGCTATGGATAGGATGAGGAGTTGGAATGTTGATATTTCGGCTTCGAGTTCGTCGTCTGTGGTTGGTTTGTCCTCGACCCCGCCTCCTCCTCCCTTGATGTTACCCGTCTCGTCGATGCCGTCGGGTCTTCGACGACGTTCGTCGTCGTGCCCACCACCGGGTGCTGTACCGGTTCAGAATGTCGGTTTCGATTATCCGTACTATCATCAGCAACAGCTATCGCAAGACCAACAGCAGCAACAGCTACAACAACAATACGGTGCACGAGACGACCTATCCCAACGTCGTCCCTCCCGAGTTACGTTCTACCAGTCCATCCAACCACACCGTCAGTACAACGCCAACAGTGCACCGTCGTACTCGAACCTCTCCCTGCCACCAGATCTCCCACCCAGTGCTGTTCCTCCTATGTATTGGAACTTGCCGATGCCTCCTTCACCCGAAGGCGTCGTCAGCGTGGGAGGTATAGACGTAGGAGGTGTCGGTATGCCCGGTTGTCCACCAGGATGGGATTCCTCCCCTCCCAGAGCGGAGAAATGGACGGAGTGGAGAGAAGATGGGGACGTGGAGACGGGTTTTATGAGGTGTGTTGTTATGCGGGTGAGTTCTCTTTCGGTCATTCACTCGTTCGTTCGTGGATACTGACGGGATCTTTTCTTAAGAACAACGACTATGACAATTCGTTCAAGAACGGAGTCCCTGTATGGACGGATGGGTTGTTTCAACAGAATCAGCAACAACAGGGACAGGGAGATGCTCAATCTTCTGAAGCCTCCGTTAGGCCGACACCAACATTTACGAACCCCTTCGACGCTGGTGCCTCACATTCGTTTTCGAATGAGGCTGAGGCTGAGCTGTCTCCTCTCGATGGCTCAGAGCTCGATGCGTTCCGTTTGCCTCCTCCACCTCCACCTGACATAGCCTCGGGTGGGTATGAAATGAATCCGTTTGGATTCTATCGACACGGGGCTGCGACTGGTGGTGGTGAGGATCAGTTGGAGTTTGATTTGGGGAGTTTGATGCCGAGGTTGTCGTTGGCTGAGGATTCGCAGGCTTGAGCAGGGTTTTCCCCTTTACCTTTCTTTTTTTTTTCTCGTTCTCCTTTCACGTTCCTCGACGACGTTGTTGTCGTTTGTGTACATTATTACTACCGGCATTACGATATTCACCCTCTTAATACCTATTTCTCCCTCTCTGTTTCTTTCCTCCTCCTCGTCATGCTTCTACGTTCCACATTTCACGTTCTGCACTTTGCATTCGATTTTCTCTGCCATCTCGGGGCAAGCCAGAGGTTCATATTCTCTCACAGGGATTATATTGTGCTTATATTGTCGTTGTGAGGTTCACAAGGGAATATAAACACAATATAAGCCCCGTGATTGAATATAAAACTCTGGTTGACCCCGAGATGGCTCTCGTCCTCGTATAGCAACATCATATACCTAGAAACTCACTCCTGCTTTACGCGACCTCTATACCACATACCACATTCACATTTGCCAAGTTCGGTTCCGTTTTCGACCACATACCTCCAGTTACAACTCTCGTTGTTACGCCCATGATGTACTACCACACTTACAATTTTCGTCTTTCGTTTCCTCTTTCTTTCCATCTGCAATAGTATAGATCCTGGATTCAATCAGATTCACCGAAGCAACAG